AGTGGATTGGGGAATCCATTCTTACTTAGAGGAGTTTTAAACTTTTTTTTTTACATTTCTTAAGCTACTTCCTGGTTTCGTGACTAGGCAAATGATGTCATACATTCCAGCAGTCTTCAGGAGGGGAGGGAGGGTTCTCAGCTCAGCAAATGCCTGATCTAAGGGCAGATGGATTCCAGGAAGTAAATACTATAAGAATCATCTGCTCTTACTCAAGATGTCCACTGCCACAAATGCCAGGGGGGTGTTTTTCAAAATTATTTCTCAGCAAAATAAAGCATGGAGACATAGACAGTTGGCTGAGTTTGCTTTAAATGTTAACAATGAATTAAATAGCATTTATAGTTTGTGGTGCTCAGATGCAGTGCAGTTCCACTTTAAGAATGAATGATCTTATAACTGGAGGGTCTAGAATAATGAGGACACAAGCAACATGACCTTGTTCCAGTTACATTCCACTGTGTAAAGAGAACAGTAGACATAATAATGTTACAGGGCACAAGAATGCTGTTTGGTTATAGAATCTATGAGGCACATTTTCCATCTTCTAAGCTCTGGAAAGTGTCTACACAAATACACACATGTTTGGATTGGCTATGCACCAGATTCTGCATGCTTTTTATTTTCTTTGCTCTGAATGAGTATTTTTTCTGTGAAATAACAAAGAGGCTAAACAACATACAGTAGTAATGGTATACATGTGAAGAGGAAAGTTTTGATTTATTGGAATAAGAAGAAAAATTCCTAAATAACATCCTTTTATTTTACAATTTGAATAAACAGAAAAAACAGATGTTATTACAACCGTATAATATTTATTTTAAACTTGAGTTGGATTGGCCTGTGCTGTCTGCAAGATCTGCCATTCTTTTGTACAAAAGCCAGAGGAAAATGTGCGATGTGGATTTACAGCCCATGCTTTGCTATGTATATTTTAAAGTTTAAAGCCCATTTGGTGGGCCTTGAATATTTAGAAGTTGAAAGATCATTTGGTTCATAAAGGAGCTTTATAACTATCTTTTCTGTCCATCCAATACTGGAATTAAATTTTTGGTAGATGGGAGCTAGTTGGATTACTTACCAAATGATGTATTTTAGCTCTTGGAATTTAAGTGGTAAGATCTTTTCTGTACTGCCTGTCTCTGCTTCCTCCACTTTGGAGTCTAACTTCTGTAAATTGCATTCCTCATTTGAAATAAAGAATTCAATAGGAATAAAGAGGCTATATTGTAAAGGTTATGAAAGATAGAAGCTAAAGACCAAAGATTTTGTTTCTATGGTCCCCTACTGATTTAAGAAGTCAGGAGATAATTCAGGTCACCCACAGATGCCTAACAAATGTTAGTATTAAATGAACTGGCCCTTTAAATTTTTGCATATTAATTCTTTACTATTCGAAGCATTCAAAGCATTACATTTATGTTAGAAAGTGCCTTAATGCTCTCCTGACATTAGAATAAAGTGTCAGACTCCCCTAACAGTAAAGCACTGGGTACCAAAGGCTTTCCTTTAGATGTATACAAAACATATGGAGATATACTGTTGCTGGAGTTATTACAGGTCTTCAGTCAGGCATATGATTCCTTCCAGCTCCCAGATTCTATGAATGACAATTGTATAATAGTGCTTCCTAAACCAGGGAAAGACAAGTTGGTTCCAAAGTCATAACAACCCATATCACTACTAAACTCACATGTAAAAAAAATCCTGGCTAGGGTTTTGGGGACCAGACTAAGCAAAGTAATGCAGCGGTTGGTACATCCTAACCAGTCAGGATTCCCACCAGATCTATGGTGAATAATCTAAGGAGGGTTTTCCTTAATCATCAGATGCCCTCAGATAACCAGGGCAGTAGGGCAGTTTTGTTGCTTGATGCTGCCAAAGGCTTTTGACAGCGACCAGTGGACATACATGTGGGAGGTAATGGGCCTGTTTGGCTTGGGAAGCCCATTTATATGATGGGTCAAATTACTGTACTCTGCCCCAAGTTCATGTATGCAGATAAATATCTCAGTCTCGAATTTCTCCTCCCTACTTGGAGGGACCCAGCAGGGATGTCCCTTGTCCCTCCTATTATTTGCATTGGCAATAGCTATTAGACAGTCAGACTCCATTAAGGGGTTCCAGAGAGGGAACAGAGTGATAAAAATATCCTTATATGCCGTCGATGCCTTGTTGTTCCTTGGGGATATGAACGACTCCCTAATCTACCTCTTGATTCTCATTCAAACCTTTGGTTCATTCTCGGGTTTCATTATAAACTGGGACAAATCTGCCCAATTCCCCTTAGACGCGTCCTCCCCGGCTCTCCCATGCAATGCTCACCAAATTAAAATTGTGTCCTCTTTTAAATTTAGGTATATGGGTGCACCCCAGGGTAGAACATTTCCTGCATTATAACCTAACCCCACTTCTTTATAAATTCAAACTTAAGAGCCAAACTTGGACTAAATTGCCTTTGTTGGTGGTGGAGTGAGCAAATTTAATCAAAATAATTTGGGCTCCTCGGCTACTTTATATCTTCCAAAACTCACCAGTCTGGATATCTCTCAAATGGTTAAAAAAAATAGACTCACTATTCTGCATCTTACTCTGGAAAGGTAAACAACCAAGAATCAAACATTACAATTACCAAAAGATAAGGGGGGTTGGCAGTGCCAACGAAAGTATATTGCTCAACTCCAGCATTTTGCTGGTTGGGAAGTTATGCAATGGGAGAACCCAATCCAAGTCCTGCTTTTGGGTGGCTCTTTTCGCTACCATCGCTATCATCATGTGTAGTGACACCAATAACTTCTTGTATTTCTTTGACAGTTTTATTTACTTGCTTTGTTGTACACACCATGGATATTACATGACTGGAAGCCTACATATACTCTAGGACTGTATGTGAGAGGTTTTGGTTTTGCATCTTTTGTATTACAATTTAAATCTTAAAAACATGATTTGCTTAAAAAAATGATGCTAGGAATTGGCTGCTGGCATGTGTCTGGTTGAATAGGTGTACAGACATTCATTTGGAGGACGATTTAGGAAAACATGCTCCCCTGCTCATTCACACCCACCACATAGTCTGCAAATGTGAAGCTGCTATGGAAGAGAGGTCATATAAATGCATTTTAAAGCATCACTGGACAGCAATATGACTAAATTAGGATGGATACAGATCAACTACAGTATAAACAAGCATGAAATGTTACAGTGAGTGTGATGCTTGGTGAGAACAAGCATAGTTTCCATCTGATCAAAAAGGTGACCTAAGCTTTTAAAAAGTTACATCAATAATGTTTTCTTTAATCTCACATGGAGGTGTTGTAGCAGTTATTAAATATGTTGTATGCCATTTATCTTCCATGAAGACTCTTACTCTTGTTGATCCAATGATGACAGGCTCGAAAGATGCAGAATCTGTCAAAGACACTATTTGTGCTTATTTAGGTTATTTTAGAAATCTCTCTGGCTTGTGGAGATTGAATCAGTCTTTTGACTGAATCCTTCACTGATTCATGGAGCGGTTTAGTTATCCAAGACTGTGTTAAAAGTAAACTGATGCATGCACAAGACATTATTTGTCTGCTGTCAGGCAGATAGTGTGTGATTAAAGTGTCAGACTTCGACTCACATCATTTCTCAACCTCTGCTCCTAACTTTATTCATAACTAAACATTTTTTTAAAGGACATCTTTCCAAATAGCGGACTGTATGCATGTTCCAGTGTCTTAAGAAGCAGTATATGCTGGAAAATAATATAAATGGAATGACAGCAGGCAGTATGTAAAGAAGAATTGTATGGAAGGTATGACAGCAGGCAGTATGTAAAGAAGCATTGTATGTAAGCTATGACAATGGGCAGTATATGCAGGAATAGAGCGCAGAGAGAATGGTAGAGGGCAGTATGTACAGATTCAATGTGGTTGATTTACTAAAACTGGAGAGTGCAAAGCCTGGTGCAGCTATGCATAGAAACCAATCAACTTCCAGGTTTTTTTTTTGTGAAAGCTTAAAGCAGAGCTCCATCCAGAAGGGAAAGTTATGCTTTATGGGCTTTGTCGCTCGCTCCCCATTAAGGATTGGCACCTTTGGGGGGTCAAGCGGGTACCCAAATTTAAGAGGTACCCGCCACCACTTCCGCCTAAGATGATCAGAAGCGGAACTTGTCCTCCCCCCTCCCTCCCCATAGTCTTCTGGGACAAGTGACATGTCCCAGAATACTATGGGACCATTCACAAAGCGCAGCACTACTGCATGCACAGTGGGCACTCGGCTGTGAAGCCACAAGCTGTCACAGCCAGGTGCCCACACTGAAGATGCCTGTGCAGGGGGGAGAGAAGACGGCTAGTGAAACCAGCGGTGGTGAGGACACCGCTGGACCGAGGGACAGGTAAGTGTCTGTATTTTAAAAGTCAGCGACTACAGTTTTTGTAGCTGCTGAGTTTTATTTTATTTTTTTTTATTCAACTGGAACTCTGCTTTAATTAAACAAGCTGAAGCTAGAAGCTGATTGGCTAACATGCACAGCTGCACCAGAATTTGCACTCTCCAGTTTTAGCAAATCAACCCCAGTGTGTGGAGGGTGTGACAATAGGCATTTTGTGCAGAAAAGAGGTACAGAGGGAATGATGGTATGTGTAGGAATGGAAGGTAAAGGGTATGACTGTGGGCAGTAGGTGCAGGAAATCAGAGAAGAGGGTATGGTAGTAAGCAATATATTCAGAAAAAAAGTACAGATGGTGTGACAGTGGGAAGTATGTGCTGGAGAGAACTGCAGAGGATATGGCAGCAGGCAGTATATACAGCTGTGGCCTGCAGAGGGTGCTGCAGTAAACAGTATGTGCAGGAGAGAAGCGCAGAGGGTATGACAGCAGACAGTATGTGCAGGAGAGGAATGCTAATGGTATGACAGCAGGCAGTTTGTAGTGCAGATGGTATGACACAGGAAAGTATGTGCAGTAGAGGAATGCTGATGATATGAAAGCAGGCAGTTTGTGAAGGAGTGGAGTGCAGATGGTATAACAGGGGGAAGTATGTGCAGAAGAAGAGTGTGGAGGGTATAATGGTGCAGGAGAGGAGTGTGGAAGGTATGACAGTGGGCAGTATGTGCAGAAGAAGAGTGTGGAGGGTATGATGAAAGGCAGTATGTTCAGGAGAGGAGTGTGGAAGGTATAACAGTGGGCAGTATGTGCAGGAGAGGAGTGTGGATGGTATAACAGTGGGCAGTATGTGCAGGAGAGGAGTGCAAAAGGTATGGTAGCCATCAGTATGTACAAGAGAGGTCCGCAGAGAGTGTAACGGTAGGTAGTATGCATAAGAGATAAACAGAGAGTTAAAGCAGACAGTATATGCAAGAGAAGAGTGCAGAGGATATGACAGCAGGCAGTTTATGGAGGAAAGACATGCACATGGTATTACAGGGGGAGTTATTTGCAGAAGAGAAATGTGGGAGGGCATGACAGGGGGCACTATATTCAGAAAAAGTATGTGAAGGGTAAGACAGCAGGCAGTATGTGCATGGGAAGAGTGCAGCGGGTATGATATTTTCCAGTATGTGCAGGAGAAGGAGTGCAGAGGGTATGACAGGAGGTAGCATGTACAAGAAAGGCCTGCAGAGGTTATGAAAGCAGGCAGTTTTGAATTAAAGAAGTTTGGCCAAAGCTCTTTTTGCCATATTTCTGTGGGTCACAGGAATGCATTTAGTTTTGCACTCCTGTGACCAAGATTCAGCCATCAGCGGGCTAAAGCTTGCTGTTGGCTGACGTCACAGAGTGGGTACAGGCTCTGCAGGGATCACAAAAATGATGTCAGAATCCGTCCACATACCAGCTGGCTCAGCCTCTCAGTGTGCCAGTTAGAGACTGAGGCAGCAGCTCCCGTCCCCTCCACAGTCCAGCACTCCAGTGAGCACTGGAGGGGCAGATCACAGAGTGGTGACTGACAGTGACTGAGAGCGATTAGCGGTTTTGATCTCTCAGTTCTTGGTGTAGAGGAGGCAGGAGACAGATGTAGCATTGAATCGATGCTGCATCCACCTAGGTGAGTTTGAATGTTTATTTTTCAAAATCTTGCACTACTCTTTTAATCTAATGAGCTACCTTCACCTTCCCAATGTTATCTATATCCCTACTACAGACCTCAGATCAATGTGTAATCAGGACTGCAAGACTTAGGATCCGCAGCCTTTGCTCAAGCAGGTAAAAATCTGTCCTCCTACCAGCCAGTGATCTATGTGGTACTGCATATGTGCAACATTTTTTTCCATACGCCTTTAATGGAGAATATGTTTACTTGCAAGCCTGTAGCGAGTGAAGCCAGGCACACACAGTGTTGTATAGCCATAAGAGCTCAGAGGTCGCTGTGTTCTGCTCAGGTCAGCATAGGCTATGGCTCCTGGTATACTCTGCCCACTGATATGTTGTTTATAGCTTGAGCTGTACAGTATATATCATGGGGGTGCTTAGGGGGCCTTTGAAATTCAAATTGTTAAAAGAGGTATTCTTTAACTACAGCATAGAATAATTCTAAAGAAAAGTATAACTGCTGGGGTAAATTCTTTAGCTGTAGTTGTCCCTGCAGGCTACACAAAACACTACAGAGACTCTATAACTTAACTTTATTATAGGCAAACAACTAAATGGGAGCTATTTTAAGCACCATTATTTATACTTCTGTCCATTCAGTCCTGAGATTTCCACAGCCTTGCCAGACAACAGTCAGCCCATTGATGTGACTTTTGTCTACTACGGTTAAGCAAAACAGAATGGTCATCTTCCTGCCATCAACCTGTGAAGGGGCAGCAGCAGTTCACATGTCTTACTCTGCTTTGTCTCCTTGTCAGTTTGTTCTCTGTCAGCACATGTGCACTACAGCTCAACTGATTTTCTCCTGGTACTTGCCCTATCTCTCCAAGTGCTGCTGTAAAAGGAATTGCATTAGGCTGATAAATGCTCAAACATCACAGTTTCAGAGACAAATACCTTTTGAACTCTGTTACATCACAGCTCCTATTATGAAACAGCTACTATGGCCAGGCACCCAACAGAAGGTTTCATGCCAGTGGACACTTCACATCCGCTCCCTGTACCATAATGCTTGCAAAAAAACAGTCATTTTGACTTGTAAATTCCATATCTTGGAGTACTGTACAGAACACAGGCAAAGTATTCATAGACCCTGAAGTATAGATTCATACCTTCAGGTTCTTGGACACTGGCAAACCTTCTGAGGACACACCCCTTGGGTACCTCCCTTGTAGCCCTACCCCAATTTGTAAGTCCTTGCTTTGTAGCAAGCAATGCAGAGTAATCAAAGAGTGGACATGAGCGTATACCATGCCCTGTACAGTACTCCAAGATTTTAAATTTACAGGTACGTCAACATTTCTCTACAGTATAGTACAGGATGTCCCCTAGCAATGAATGAAAAGAATGGACAACAACTAGGCAAATAGAACTTTGCCATCCTGCCCAACAATAACATGGGTCAAAAGACCCAACTTCTGAATGTCAGTGCAAGATTCTTGCAGCCAAAAGCTGCATCCAAAGTAGATTGGACATCTACCTGGTAGAACTTTGAAAAAGTATAAACAAAGCTGGGCTACAGAGACCTGGCGCTGGAAAGCCAGATAACTTCCCACCCAAGAAACTCCCACCAATCTGATGGAATGGGCATGTAAAAGCACAGGAGGAGATCTGTCCTGAAGAGTGTGAGCTCTAGTGATCATATTTATCATCCATCGAGTGATGGTGAACTTGGAAGCAGAGTGTCCTTTGTGAAGTCCTGAAGAAAAGACAAAAAATAAATCTGTTTTCCTAATCAAAGCTGTTGCTTTGAAACAGACATTTATGGCTCTGATTACATCCAGGCATTGAAGATTTTCTTTGGATGTTTTGGAGAAAGGCATAAAGATGTTAGGACTATGTCTTCAATGAGGTGGAAGACTGAAACCACCTTAGAAAGAAAGTCTTGGGCATAAGACTACAATACCTTTTCATTTTGAAGCATGAGGAATGGCTCTTTTCAAGAGAAAGCCACCAACTCAGAGACACATCCAACATATATGATAGCTACCATAAAGATCACTTTGCAGTACAGGTCATCTAAGGGAATATCCCTGATGGGTTCCAAGGGTGGTTTCCCTGATGGTTTCCAGAGGTTGGTTTTCTGCAGGGCAGCAAGAACCATTTTGACATCCTAAGGAAGCACAGAAATCTGCAAGGGGGGCTGATGCAAGATACACCAAGGTTTTGACTAAGGAGAGCAAAGCAAGAGGTTTTTGAAAAAGAATGTGTAAAGCCAAAACCTATCTTTTCAGAGTGCTTAAAGTGGTAGTAAAAAAAAAGAGTTTTCTGGTGCAAGGTGTGCTTGCACTGCATGCTAGCACATTAGGAAAGACTTACCTTAGAACAAAGCCCTCCAGTGGCACGCTGTCACCGCTGCAGAAAGCTTTCGCCTTTACCTGGTCTTCATTCCAGGTTCGCCGGCTGCTTGAATGGCTTAGCCACCGATGACATCACTCCCGCACATGCGCGCAGGGGTTTTGACCTTGGCACACAGCTCTGAAGGCATGAGTATGCCATTCCTTCAGAGAGCATGCACCAGTATTGTCAATGGCTGCTGCTCCGTCAAATATCTCCTAAACGGTGAGCGTTTAGGAGATATTCATTTACCTACAGGTAAGCTTTATTATAAGCTTACCTGTAAGTAAAAATATACAAAGTGACTTTATTACCACTTTAAGGCCAAGTTTTGGACAAGACCTAATTGCAGGAAGGCCAGCATGCAAGGCACAAAGTACTGGAACTGAATTGCCTGTGTTCACACCAAGCAAAAAAGGATTTCCAGGTACGATAGTAAATCTTTCTGGAAATGACTTTTCTTGCTTTCAGCAAGGTAGGGATATCAGACTCAGTGATCCCTCTATCACTTATAACCTGGACTTCACTGTTGACTGGTAGACGATTTTACTTCTGTGTAAACTGTTCATATTGTCACAAAAAATAAAGAATGTATTTAAAAAAAAACTGAGCTTCAGCAGGTGTTGGTGTTGGAATGGTGAAATTGGGCCAATGGTACAACCTCTAAGGAGTCTACTATCTCTTGACTTGATAAAGCGCATGCACGCAAAACATGTTGTCCCGGCAACCAGCCTCTTCCTTCTAAAGCTGCGGCTCCAGCAAGAGTTCCCCCCTCCGTCTCTCCACATCGTGGTGACGTCATCCGGGACGCTGGGACATCGGATACACGTGGTCCCTGCAATGACAGGCATTCTACTCCACTGCTTCCCTCTAAATGGACGGGCCGTCCATCTTGGAACCTGGCTTCTTAAAACCACAAGCTGGTTATCTATTTTTTACCATATGAATTATTAACGGCACACCTCCATATAAGGTGTATTACTTTTATCACAAAACTACACAGCGCCTGGCTCCTGTTCATACTTTCCACAAACTGATGTGTTTTTACCATGGCAGCAGTGAGTTTTTCCCCACCAATCACAGTTGACATATACCATTCACTTATTTCCTTTGGGACACATCTGTGCGCTTTTATCCAGACCGTCCTCACATGTTCTAATGCAGTGTTTCTCAACTTTTTTCAGTCAAGGCACCCTTTATAGTTATGCACAACCTCAGGGCACAGCAGCCTAAGGCCTTGTTTAACTGGAAATACTTAAGTGTATACCCACACAGGGGTGCACAGGTGTCTCTTTCATATCAATTGTAATGCAGGCTCTGCTCCCAATTTGACTTCTGTGCAGGTGCGTATCACCAAACTCCCACTGTTTGCGTTCAAGGACATGCATTGGCACCCACACAGATGTCAAATTGGGAGCAGTGGCTGTGTCCATGCAGCAGCTGCGTCCCAATTGACATGAATGAGACATGCTGCACATGGATGCACCAGACAGCGGTGCATCCCCATGTGGGCAAACACAGCCCTTGAACAGGTGTTCGCTTTGGTACACTCATGTTAATGAGGCCTAAAATGTAGTTTGTGACTAGACCTGTGCAGTTTGTTTTGTTCCAAATTGAAATTCGAATGAATTTTCCATTATTTGGAGATTTGGGTGTATCCGAATTTTCGAATTACAATAATAACAAATTTAAATTAATCTGAAATAACTAAAATAAATTCGGCAGACATTCGAATGGATTTGAGTTCGAAAACACATTCAAAAATAAATGTGAAAACCAATTTGAATTTGAAAACAAGACTAGAATAAAACAAAACAGAAAATAAAGAAATATAAAAGAATAGAATAGAAAATAAAATAATAGAATAGAACAGAAAAGAACAGAGGAAAAAAGAACAGAATAGAAAAAAAAGAATAAAACAGAATACAGTAAGAACTAATAGAGTAAAACAGAACAAAATAGAATACAAAATAAAGGAATAAAAAATAATAGAATCCGTTAGAAAAGAATAGAAAAGACTAGAATAGAAAATCAAAGAAAGAAAAGAATAGAAACGATTAGAGTAGAAAATCAAATAATGGAATGGAATTGAATCAATTAGAATAGAATAGAAGATTCGAATAAAGAAACAAAGAACAGAATAGAATAAAATAGAAAGAATATAACTGCCTTCTGAAATTCGAATTTTGAATAGAATG